AAAATCGACAAGTAACACACTGTCCACACTGGGGACTATATTCGTGGACAACGAAAATCAAAGGACGATAACTGTGTACCCGGACCATTCAGTGGGTTTGGATAGTTTTATTCCGCCGGCAAACAATGTTGCAGTTGAAGGCAACACTTCTTTCAGAAGTTCTGCATACTTTATTCTAAAAACGAAAATCAGCATGATTTTGCAGGGGAATGTAAGTAAGGGGGAAGGAAACCAATATTAATATCTTTTTACAACAACAAAAAACGGCACGGGAAATATACACGATTACTTTTCCGCATGCGGGAAGTGGGAATATTAAAAAAAAAAAAAAAATCTCTCTAGAAAAAATTATGTGCGGGCGGGTCCGTTGAACAAGGAATTAAATTGGTGTGGCCTTACTATGTGATTATGTGCCTGGTTAAATTGTATCACCATTTTGTGTTTCTCTAGGAATTTACCATTATTGCAAGCATGCATGATAATTAGTGAAATCAATTTCTGGTTAAAAACAATATTGACAACATATTGACAAGCATATTTTTAAATACTATTTAACAGCTAAAGGATAATCTTGATAATGCTAGGACTCAGCAGGACCAGGACGCGTCCTATGGATGCACAGGTTAATGATATGATGCATCTAAAAAAAATTGTGCGTCCAGGATTCATTTAAGCACCTCAATAAGTAAAATGCTTAATCATTATTTTATCTAAGCGTATTAAGGGGAGGTAACTCAGAAATTCTACAATTTTTAAAGGAATCTACAAGCAATTTTCTATTAAATGTTATTGTCGAAAAAAACGTATGATGTCCCACTTTTTCTTTTGATATTCAAAAAGCACTTTATAAGAGCTATAACCTCGTATATTATTTAAAATTTTTAGCAAAGTATGATTATTTTTTTTTCATTTTTCATTTATACTTCCATACCGCCTTTAACATAGCTTGTAATATATTTTTTGTAATTGTTTGAACTCCCAAATTTCTGTTTGAAGACAAATATTTCAATTTTTATTTTCATTATAGATATCTACAGAAGAAACGAGAAAGACGTTGTGTACATGTTATTATTTTGTACAAGTTATTACTTCTGCAAAAACTTTGAACGAGCAATTACTTGTAGGATGCCATCATACAAGTTATTACTTCTACAAATATAATTGTACAGGTAATTACTAATTACCTGTACAATTTTTGTTAAGAAAAAGATAATAAGTTGTACATGTTCTACAACCACTATTTTTGAGGTATATTTAAGTAAAAATGTTCATTAGGCTTAAATCTATCTGCCCTGAAATTTTCAGACGAATGAGACATCTTGTTGTTGGGTTGTAAAGGACAGAAAGATACACGCGTACAATTGCATGTACAACAGGGATAGCAAATAGTCCATTGAGGGCAAGGGTCCTGATAAAGTGAGTATAAAATAACAAGATATATTAAAGCCAGATATGTACATAGAAAATAACAATACAAACACAAGTAAAACATAAGAGTTTGATATGTTCTGTAGGTATAAAACCACTAATTCATAGCCCCATTGCTTTCTATGTTAAATTCTGCAATTTCAAGCATAAATGGCTACTTTGTCTGAAGTTCAAATAAAGTGGCAGTTATTTCATGTCAAAACTGTACCTTATGCTGACTTGTGCTGAAAAAATCAACATACCTTTAATTGCATATTAGAGCGTACTGGTTCCCGGAAGTTTGATAGTACAAAAACAGGAACTTCTGATCTGAACAACAGGCCAAATGAGCCCTCCTATTAAAATTTCATATACTTCTTTATTATTCAAATAAAACTTTCAACAAGGGTTCTACAGTGATCCCAAGTCCCCAAGCTTTCATTTGATACTAAAACTACCCAAACATTCCCACTATAGACAAAGATACAGCTATGCGTAGGAACTATTTTGTTTAAAATATGTACTACTTTCTTGTATGTTCTTTCCGACCGGGCCTGAATTAGTGGTTCTATACCTGTATAGTTTTTTATAGGCCCTTCACCATCTTTGTGAACGTTTCAAACAAAATTCATGACTCACATGTAGTTTCTACTTCCTCTTGAAATTTCAGGGCTGTAGATCTATTATAAAGATCCAGAGCCCTTTATTTTTCCTAAAATAGATTGTATGCAGTGATCCCCTGATTATGCAAAATTTATGGCAATGACCAATTGATGGAAATATCATAGAAATGTTCTTTGGTGGACTACATGTGATTTCTAAAAAAAAAAGCAGTCAATGGTACGTTGTACAGCATCTTAACCTAGATCACCCAATCAGCTTAAATCATTATAATCATCTTAAATTCGTAAATCTTAAAGTCACCGACCATTTATCTTTTTTGAGGGAGGGGGGGCATGTTTTTTTCATAATTGTTTGATTTGAAAAAAAAAAAATTATTCATAAATAAAGCCCCAAAAAATTATTTAATATGAATGCTGTGTACCTGTTGAATGAATACTGTTTCTTACCAATATTACTTAAACTATTTAAAACCTTTTTTTGCTTTGCATTTAAAAGAAAAAAATAGACTCTAGAAAAAAATTATGCATCCCCCCCTCCTTATAAAAGACAAATGGTTGATGCCTTGGTATTCCCGTTTTCTGCTGCAGAAAACGGTAATATAAGATATTCTATGTGCTGGTTATTTCAAGCTATAGGGACATCTCGGACCACAACAAACTTGGACCGTTGCAAACTGTGACTACTTCTTTATTGAATTTAATTGGCTGTTTGTTCTTGTGTAATATAAAAGTAAGGATATGTGGTTTGCTTGCTAATAAAATGAATAAGACAACTACCACCAAAGTTCAAATGAAGTGGATGTAAGCAATTATAGGCAACCGTACGGCCTTCAACAATGAGAAAACTCCATACCGTATAATGCTATAAATGGTCCCGACATGAAAAATATGGAACAATTCAATTGAGAAAACTAACAGCTTAATTTATAACAAAACAATTGACGTGGCAGGGTATTTATAATACATCCCTCATTACAACAAAAACACAAAGTACAGATCTGAGAGTACTCGCAGTTACTGATACTAGTTCAAAGCCAATAACAACTAATAAAAAAATCATGTGTCTAAGACATTGTGGGTCTTTCTTGTCCCGCGTTAGTCTTTGTCAAATGATTTCCCTTCTCCTGGACTAACGCTTGGTTTGTCTGCCATTCATTGGTTAAGTCAAGAAAATTGTTGAGGCAATCTGACTGTGCATAACACTAATGTATAGATTTTTTTGTAATTTTGGAGTAAACTGGGGAAATGGGGAATATGTCAAAGAGACAACAACCTTACCAAAGAGCAGATAACAATTGAAGGCCACCAATGGGTCTTCAACGCAGCGAGAAAATCCTGCACACGGAGGTGGGCCTCAGCTAGCCCCTAAATAAAAATGAGTACTAGTTCAGTGAAAATAGACTTCATACTAAACTCCAAAACATACAAATGAACTAAAATTTTAAAACATACAAGACTAACAAAGGCCAGAGGCTCCTGACTTGGGACAGGTGCAATAATGCGGCGGGGCTAAACATGTTTTGTGAGATCTCAACCCTCCCCCTATACCTCAAGCCAATGTAGAATAAAGAAACACACAGCAATATGCACAGTAAAACTCAGTTTAAAAGAAGTCCGAGTCCAATGTCAGAATAGAAAACAAAAGAAACTAAGCAAAATGACAATGATACATAAATTAACAATGGACTACTAGCAGTTACTGACATGCCAGCTCCAGACCTCAATTAAACTGATTGAAAGATGTTTCTGAAAAAAGCGTGTGATGCTGAAGGTCAATTGCAAAATGTGAATATTGAAGAAAACAGATACTGCTATTATTGACAATATCTTGTAAAATGTACACTGATGTTAATGCATCACAATAAGGGGCCCCAGTAGAATCCCTTAGGTTGCGTTAAAAAAAATGCATCCATCAGTTTGTCTCACTTTTAAGCAAATTTAAGATTTTTTCTCGCCGCGATATAGTCTTTTTGTGCTGATGCAGCGTAAAGCAATCACCAATCAACCAATCAATCATTTTTTTTTTTAAAAGTCATAGGTTGTTTTACATGAGACACAGAAACGCCCACCTAATCCCTAAGGAAACAAGTCAGATATGGGCAAATTGGAGCCACACAATATCCAATATATAGAATAGATTCTGTATTTTATAATGCAAATCATATTCTGACCCCGCCTAATTTGTTGAAAATAGTTTGATGAGAATCCGTATAAAAAATTCCCTGTATAACATAATTTGAATTATGTATATATATACTTAATTAAAATTCTGTATAGTCAGACTGAGTCTGCATTTGCGTATGAAAAAAATTGTTACGTCATAATTCAGTATATACGGAATTCGATCCATACAGAAATAGTTCTGTATATCCGTTTTTTTAATTCTGTAAATACATAAACGATTTCTGTATATACGAAAAGGCGCGAAAATACATAATTGAATAATATACCTCTATACACAAATTTTAATTACGTATATACAGATTTTGAATTAAGTATATAAAAAGTATTCAAACTATACCTATCATATAGTACATATATACGTAATTATTTCTGTACATATGTAATTACATATACGTTATAATACAGACAGACATTTTTTGTTTTACCCTGATGCCGCACAATAATTATTTCTTAGTGTCGGACTAATGGGTTGTCGGATTATTGGGCTGTCGAAGCAATGGGTTGTTGGATTATTGGGTTGTCGGACTTGGGTTGTTGGACTAATGGGCTGTCAGAAGAATGGGCCGTCGGACTAATGAGCTGTCGGGCTAATGGACTGTCGGAATAATGGCGTGTAACAGTAACATAATAGCATAGGCATTGTGATCTAATGTACGGGAAATAATATGAAAACAACACGAAATAATTCCATGTCTGTTCTGAACGTATACCTTGAGTCGTCAACCCGCTCAAAATGCACTATAGTTTCACAAACATCTTAGTATTCTATATTATTCGCGTTCTTACCATTCGATCTGCTTTCATTTTGTACAAAATAACATGTCTTAAGGATCCACTATTTTTAACTTTTCCGTCTGCATAAACTTTCAAAAGCTTAGATGGGTATAATATGAAGACTCAGTGACGGGGAATCTTAATTTTTTTTCCGTGTCTGTTCTGTATACAGATGAGACAGACTGTATCTCGATTTCGGGCCCTTACAAATGTTCGACTTTGAGCGTTCGTAACGAAGATCAATCCTAAAAAAAATCGTTTCGTGTACATGAAATTTATACTGTGTTATTCTAATTTTTTTAATTTTTATCTTGAACAAATCTACTGTCTGTGAACGTATCACTATGTTTTCCAGCAGAAGGATACACATATTTTAACCAAGGAATTGTATATCTAAAATATACAATTCCTTGTTTTAACACAGTGACAAACAAAAAATTATTTTTTTGTTAGATATATATTTTTTGAATATGTCTTAAATAAAGCAGGAATTCGTTTGATTGGTTTTCATGATTGAAGGAATTGAAGCTTTTAAATTTAAGATATTTGAAAAAAAACTGACTGTGCAATATCACTTTTCTATCTGTTGTTTTTTTTTTTTCTATCTTTGCCGGCGACATAGTTTAACATAATTCATTACGAAAAAACTAGCCAAATTAATTAAATATGCAAAATAAAAACAGTATAATGCATACATCCTGATCGACAAAAAGTAACACGTTTATGCTTTGTGCCAGCAGAGATTACATTTCAGTCACCAATTTAATTTCGATTAAAGTTATGTCTTGGGCTGCTGTCTCGTTGCCTTTAAATTAAATATGTTTTGTTTATTAGGAATCGAATACCAGTTATTGCTGCTCTCAATTGAAATATCCTTTATCCAAAACATATAATCTACTCAACACACATCACCAATAAATATCCCGTTGGTGTGGAAATTACTTGAAGTTATAAAGTTGTTTCCATTATATCATCTCATTACAAATCAGAAAGATATAAAAGCAAGAGGCTCTCGAGAGCTTGAATCGCTCACCTGTACTTTTTGATTAAATCTTTCATCAATGATTATTTTTTGCTTTTCAATATATATTAATGGGTGGCTTAATTAAAAATGCCAAAAAGTTTGGTTTAACTTGGTTCAGTAGTTTCAGAGGAGAAAATTTTTCAAAGTTGGAAATCTATAGATAAACAAAGTGTGAAAAATTGTCTTTAAAGGGCAATAACTCCTTAAGGGATCAGTTGACAATTTTGGTCATATAAAATTATTTGTATATCTTACTCTGCTGCACATTTTTTCGGTTGACAGTTTATAATGATATTCAAGATAATAACCAAAAACTGCAAAATTTGCTTAAAATTACCAATTTAGTGGCAGCAACCCAATTGTTGTTAGATTCATCTGAAAATTTCAGGGCTAATAGAACTTGACTATCCCTTAAAACAGATAAGCTCTAAATGCTTTAATTTTTTAGATATAAGCGAAAAAACTGCATTTTCCCCATATGTTCTATGTTTAAATAGCCATGGCGGCCATGTTTTTGACGAAACAGAAAATAAAACACAAACTTTATTCTCGATACCCTACAGATATTCCGCTTAAGTGTGGTTTGAATTCGCCTTTTCAGAATCTTAAGGACCATTGTTCGTACACCAAAATGAAAATAACGTTACGTCATTGGTTGAATTTCCATAGTTTAGAACATCTTAAACCAATCACAACGTTTTGATGTACGCTTGTGAAAATATTACCCAGAATGCATGAGATTCTGAAACGGCGAATTGGTACAGTAGTTTCAGAGAAAGTTGTTTGGAATATGTTACACCGGACGGACGACGACGGACGCCAAATGTTGGCAAAAGCACACCTTGTCAAAGGAAAGGTGATTTAAAAAAGAAATAAAATAACAGCATAGTATCTCTTCTGATTAATGTACCACTTTAATTTTCGTCTTTAGCGCAATATTGGATTTGATACTTTGGCTAGAAAGTAAATATTCAATATTTATATCATTTATGATTAAGAAACTGTTTCCATCCTCAGTACTGTAAAGCGACCCGACTGTATATCTTATTTTTATTACCACATTTCAACATCTATTTCATTGCACTCTTATCACCGATGATTTATCTTGACAGCTTAATGTTTTCTTTCTCACCATGCTCACAAATACAAATTATGAATACATGTAATGCCATACTTGCAATTATTTTAAACAAATGGTTAATAAAATTGAATTCTAGTTCATTTCGATAATCACATAAGAACCTTTTGTTGTATTGTCGCTAATGAAATTGGCCGGAATATATTACAGGAAACTGTACACAAATAAGTCACACATTATACTTGCATGCCTTATATTTTGATTAGTAATTGTGTACTTAAAATGCTTAACGCATACATGAAACCTTTTTCATTTTCATACTACGTATACACTACTGAAATTACATGAAATCTTCCCGAAAATACTAAACTTTTTGTATATATTCTGTATGCAAACTTCGAAAGTTGCTTGGTTATCATAAAATCCACATATCACATTAAATCATATCAAATACTCACATTTTTTAATGATAACGCTTCCGTTTAACAAATAAACTATATAAATGATAGCTAATTCCTTGTTTTGTGTAGCAAAATATCGATATAATCGACGAATGCAATAAATATATATTCAAATTACCAAATTTTACAAAATGGCAGAACATACAAATATTCAAAAATAATTTGTGTCAAATTCGAGGCTCCAAATTTCGGAAAAACCTATGACGCGCCTGACAAGTGTGAAAATACAGTAAAATTGTGCTAATTGAACATTTCCTATCATTTAAAATCTTTCCAAATGAAATACAATATTTTGATAAATATTTTAATTGAAGAAAATTATTAATTAAAGTATCAAAATGTTACAAAAACTGGAATTAAGAACGCAACAATGAAATTTAAGGGGAAAAGGGGGAGGGTCATTTCTGTAGCCGAGAAAAGACTTATTATTTCAAATTCGTCCGTATCATTATGTCAATTTTTTTTTTTACCATATATACTGACTTAATTATCATCAATATCGTTGATATTTTAAAGCATGTATTTCAACAAAAAATACTGATCCAATTTTTTGTCATTATCATTATGATTTAATACCTTCATTGCGTCTTTTTATACCGTTTATTCAAAGCGACTCATTCAATTTCCTTTCAGGCTTGCTATAAAAAAAAAATGCATCAAAAACCAACGAAAATGGTCCATAATCTGTTATCATTTAACTTGAAATTTTAAATTGGCGAAAGGAAGGGAGGGTATATGTGTGTCAGAATTTGAGGTTACTATAACCACATAGAACCGTTAAAATAAGTTGGCTTTATTTGCAGTCAATATGTTACCTAACAAACTGTAAAAACATAAGCTGAGCTTTGATTCGACATAGCTACAACGTAACTACGAGTGTAGCAAATGAGATGCATAGTTTAGTACAAATTCTTAAGTACAGAACGTAAATTAAACTATATTAACCTACATGTATTTCTCACTTTACAAGTATATAATGTTGATATGAGTCCCTGTATAGCCGGGTAAAATGGCGTTCCGGCTAAATGGAAATCAAGAAGGAATATTTCGCTCCTTAAACTTTTATTTCAGCAGTCCGGTTAGACCGAACAACAAACTCCAAACCAAATGTAAAGTAACATACAAACAATAACAATATATATAAGCACAAGCAATTAAAGGATTAAGATGATTAACATATGCCAAATAGAAATAACAATAGTTTAGAAGAGTAATTGGTGTCCGACACGTATAAGTAAATTATTGTCTAAACTGTTACAGAGAATAAATAATTAAATGAATAGAGTAAATGAATTTAAGTCCTTTGTCCAAGATTATGACACATAATCCGTGTAAAACACTTATGCCTAAATTTACGACAAAGTTCAGAATAATAAAATAAATGCAAAACCTAAATATACATTAAAACAATTGAATAAATAAAATGTTGTTTAAAACTATTTTCACACTGCACAGTCCAAATAGTCCGGTCATATATTCCCGCGGCCCCTGAAGACACGACCCGGGTCTTAATGTTCATCTAAAATTGTTCCGAAAGTTTCTTCTGTGATTGTGGCGTCCTCTGTAACGATAGTTTTGGTTTGGATGATTATCTTCTCTTGTATTATTTCGAAAATTGTCCAATTCGTCTTCTAGTTCAGTGATTCGATCCCGCATATGTTCTTTGTCGCGTTGTAATTGGTATTGCTGGTCGATTGCTTCGCATCTTTGATCGTAAATCCGAAAATTAGCTTCTTCAAGATCAGTAATGCGTTCCCGTAATTTTTCCATATCTTTTTTATCATCTGCACCTTGTTTTTGAAGTTTTTCTAGATTGCTAACAACACTGGTATGCTTTTGATTTAACTCTTTAAACTTCTTCTCATAGTGTTCACTTTTGATTTTAAATTTTACTCTCTCTGAATTCACTCGGTCGTGCCTGAGTCTAACGTTATCTATAAAGTCCCTATTATATTCTAAGGTTGGAAAGAAGTCCATCAGTTCAATAGTATTGAGTTCCGCACAAGGAAAAATTGACATAGCTCTCTGTTCTTTGAATTTTATCATTCTTTCTGCGTCACGACGTAATTTCGATTTGGATTTAACTTTAACAACTTTCACGTCCGGTTGTCTGTGAAAGTTACACATTCTGGCGAAATGTCCAAAATTTCTGCACTTATAGCAAAATGACGTTTTTGCTATACATTGTCTAAAATGAAATTGATTGTTCACAGTCTTTCCACAAAACTTACATAGGTAGTTGTCCATATGTTGAAAATTTCTTGCCTAAAAAATAGTTCCATGATCAGACATCAGGTATCTCCAGTCTCGGCCAAAATTTCTGGTTCTCCGCGTATCCATTTTTCTGTTTGCTGGGGGATCAGCTTTACAGGTAGAACAAGGTATCCGATAGATGCGTTGCCCGGATGTCCTAACACCAGATATAGCCGGGTAAAATGGCGTTCCGGCTAAATGGAAATCAAGAAGGAATATTTCGCTCCTTAAACTTTTCTTTCAGCAGTCCGGTTAGACCGAACAACAAA